CCGCCATTCGCGCCGGGCCGAGACCTCGCCTTTAATCATCTCCCCGGATCTAATGGGATTTCTCTGCTGCAATTCATCACGCCACCCCCTCCCCGCACACACTCTCGCGCTCACCCGCGCGCTGCCTCGCCACACTCCAGGGAGGGAGGCCACAGGGCGGTGAATCTGCGCCGTGCTGCTCGCCGCCGGCGGTCCCGCCTTTCGCGCTGCCCTCCAAACTTCGCTCGACTTTGCCGCCCGTTCCGGGGGGAGGGGGGCGGCCCTCGCGCCCCCATTGCGGAGGGACTGGGCGGGATGGCGGCTGCACCCAGACTTGGGACGTCGCTCACTTCCCTCGGTCTTGGCGCTGCCACGCCGGAGTCGGAACCTAGAGTCCAATTCCAAGGGAAAGTCGGGGGCTCCGGGGCCCGGTATCCGGCCTCTCGCCCTGCCCGAGGCTGCAGCATCTGAGGTCCTGGGATGCATACTTTGTTCTTCCCGAGGTCTTTTTCTTGTCCCCGCGCGCGCGCGCGCACTCTCACACACACACACGCACACGCACTCACACACACGCACACACACACACTCACACGCACTCACACACACACACACACACACACACACACACACACACACCGCTCACGTCCAGAGCTGTTCCTCCTTCCCGGCCAGCCCTCCTGCTCGGCTCCCTCCCACCCTACGTGGGAAGACTCCTCGCGGGAAGACCTGCCACCCACCCTACCAGCCCCAGGCCCTCGCTTGTAGTCGGATCTCCAACTTCATCTGTCCGGGTTTGAGGGAAGCTTGGCCTTGGAGAGCGCAGTCAGGGAGTTGGGGAGAGGTTGGGGGTTCTGCGCCTTTGGGAAGAAAGGTTTCCGAGTCTCCCCAGGACCCGCTGCCCGGCTCAATCAAGCACTCCTCAAAGCTACCGCAGCCCAGGTCCTTCCACTGCACCTGGGTGGGCTGTTGGGGGTGCCTGGGACCTTGCTTGAAGCTGGGACCTGCTGCCCTTCCCAGTATGGTCTGTAGCACCTGATGTGGACGAGGGAGAACGCAGAAGCTTCTAAACCTCCTTGCTCAATCTTTCCAAGCCTCGCTGGAGGTCAGGCCAGCGGAACGGAGGCTAGAGTGGGCCCCAGGGCAGCAGTTTTCTTTGTTCTGTGTCCCCAGGGGCACAGAAGCCCCTCTCTGAGCCTCTGGCTCCACTTGCATTTGGCCGGTGTCGTCCTCCCATCCCCTAGCTGACCCCACAGGGTTCACACCTGGTGCCTAGGATTCAGAACCTGTGTTTTCATATTGAGGGGGTTGTAGTCCCTTAAACCCCACCCCGCCTGGGGCAGGGTGAGGAGGGGAAGCCAGCATCCTGGCCCAGCTGTCCCAGGATGTCCCTGGGAGTTCAGGACCTGTCTTGGAGTGGAGCCAGGACCTTTTGCTGGACAGCTCTCCTGCCGTACAGGACCTGTGTGTGTCCCCTCCTCAGCATGCAGTCTTGGGGGGTGGGGGTGTAAGTCTGAGTGTGAATGTAATCAGGGCCCAGGGTGTCTGGAGTAGAGGGTCCAAGTGTGTCTGTGCTTCAGGAGGTCTGGGTGTTAGGTGAGAGCTCAGCAGTGAGCAGGTGTGAGGCAAGTGTAAGAATGCTAGTGTGGGGTGCAGCCTCTGCCGGAGAGCTCTCTGCAGGGCGGGGGTGAGATTGCTTGCGGGTCTCCAGGAGGATGGCTAGTGTGGCTGATGTGGCCAGGAGTCCAGGGAGCCCTCCTAGGGGTGAAGGGGTTAGTGTCCAGTCTGTGGCTGAGGGTCTGTGTATCGCCAGCCAGGGTCCCTCCCTGACCCACCTGGACCTTTCTAACACCCGTGGGCCACCCACCCAAGGGACATGTGGGGTAGGGAAATGTCTACTGGGGAAGATCTTTATTTTCCCTCCTTAAGGGGGAAGAGGAAGCAGCCCTACAGTGCCAGGCCTGAGGAGAGAGGGCTTGCACCTGGGCTTGCCCTGGCACCCTCTTCCCTCCCAACAAGGCTGCCAGGTCCCTGGTGGTGGGCTACTGAGTCATCTCATTGGGAGGCAATGCATTCAGCCATCTCTGGGCTCCTGGGGGCTTCAGCCAAGAAAAAGCAGCCTCGAGCGATAAAGGCCAAAGGACTATGAGCCTTTGAGGCCCAGGTGGTGCATTCTGCAGCCTTCGTGGCTTCAAGAAGGGTCCTCAGAGCTTTGCTCACACAGGCCAAGGGATGCAGGCCATGGGATATGGCCAGGAACAGCCCAGAATCGGGAGGTGGAGGGGTAGGGAAAGATTTCGATGGGCCTGACTCAACCCTGTAGATTCAGTCCCTGTTCTACCCCTTCCCCACTCCCACCCCACAGCTGCCGGCTGATTGTTCCCAGGCGGGAGGGGTGCCAGGGGCCACCGGTCACACTCCAACCTGTGAGCAGTGCAGGGAAGATCCTGCCACAAGTGGGGAGGAAACCGAGGTAGGAGGGGCAGCACACGCCCGGGCCTGCTGTGTCAGTTTAATGATTTTTAATGAGTAATTACCTTTAGTCATTCTCCTAATTTTTGAATATCAATAAAGTTACTTAAACTCTGCATGTGTGAATGTGGCCTGGGGAGATTGTGAAGGTGAAGTGGCAGAGACTGGGGTGTAGTTGAGTCTCCAGGGGCGGAGGCTGCCTCTGTGGCTGTGTGACCTTAAACCGGGATGCTCCACCTCTCTGAACTCTGGTGGAAAGAGGGAGGGAGGGGATGACAAGTAAGGGTTGCTCACTCTGCCAAGAACTGGAGGATGGTGTCTGGGAGGCAAGGCCTGGACAGGGAAGGCTTGGCTTCCAGGAGCCCCAGCACCACAAGGGTTAACAAACCTGGGCTGCCTTAACCTAAAATGGTAATTGCTGCTTCCCGCAGACTCAGTGCTGGGCGCTGGGTTCTGAAAGTACATTCCTGAGTCTGGGGGCGGCAGCCAAAGTCAATACCAGGCCCTGCTCCCGGTCCCCCAGCCTGGCACTTTGAAGGCAGGAAGTGGGTGCTGGGAACAGGACTCCATGGGAGCCAATCTAGTGTCCACTCAGAGCCCTAGAGGTTGATGTGGTGGACAAGAGGCTCCCCTGCGCTTCTGAGGAGACTGGAGGACCTAGAAACTGCCACGGACTGGAAGGGAATTGTGGATTTATTTTTTGCCCCTCACGGGCCCAAGCTCATCAGGCTTGGCAGGCCCTGGCGGCGG